AATTCATCACAAACATATATACTCACAACCATATGCATTGGCTTTTCTTAGCCATAGTCACACTTTTCATACTCCACAACTGCATACCATACTTATACATACCATAATCGTCACAACTTACACAGTTACACAACATATACACATATCATCAACTTTCCACACCTGTGGATATCTCACACTACATTAGAAGCTAGTATGCACATGAAAAACGTTCTCAATTTTTTTTTTTACAAAAAGGTGTGGATCACTGCCAAAATCCCAAGTAGTCGTCCAAGCACAAAATAGTTGAAGACTATACCTCATCTTGGCTTCAACTTTAGCTCCTCTCCCACCTAACACTTATCTACTGGTGCTGCTGATGATCTGCTTACACATAACATAAGCAGAGAAGAAGAATAAAAGAGGGTCAGCTCATGGCTGAGTGAGACAATCATTGCATCGTGAGTTCATAACAGAGCATACCCCTACCATACATCTTAGCAAACAAGCCAAAGCACTAGGATCAGACCTCAGCCATCCGACATCCCAATAAGCAAAAGATTCAACCATCTTGACTTATGCATATGCATCTTATCATGTTTTACGTATAGGCGTCTGGCTACTCCCATGCTAATAACTCTCCCGGGAAACATACCCCACATCCCGTCGGATGTAGTCATACATACCCCAACATCCCGTCGGATGTGGTCATATATACCCCACACCACTATGGGTGTAGTCATACCCCGACACCACTCTGGGTGTGGTCATATCTCGTAAGAATTCTTCAGTCACCACCACATGAGAGGTGTGACTATCATACATATCATAATAGAGTAATAGCATAGGGAGCCCTAATTACTATGTAGTTGACCATGAGACCAAAGTACTCTTACTTGATATCCTTATACATGATCCATATCTCATCTTGCTTAATAATAATTTGTTACTTGCACATGTACTTGACCTGACCATAATTGGCTCAACATAGGTAAACCAGGAGTCGTATAGTTGCACTTCCTCGGGATAAACCCTCGTGCAAGTCATCCTCATTAAAACATCATAATATCACCATGGGATATATATTTGCCCACTTGTACATCCAAATACATCAATCATGGAATATCATACCCAATCACCTTTTTGAACCATCATAAGGCATATCAATAGTCAAGCCCACAATTTGCAACATATACGAAATCATCAGCATAAACAAGGTCCATCTTGATTAGGGCAAGTCAATAATATCATACAGTAGTCCAAGGTTCATCATATAGCACAAAATTTCATACACCCCTAATCATGCCATTCTAGTTCACCTAGGTCAATTCTAAGCATCAATATAATTATCGTGATACGACAAACCGGGTATGCCGTGCTAATCCCTCACCCGTTCTGGTCGTTCAAACACCGGTTTAACCTTCCCGTACTAAAACGTCAATTTCACGAACGAACCCCGAATTAAAATCCGAGACCGTCCTAATATCCCCTGCAGTATCCCCGTCAATATTAGTTCTAGGTTCCGGGTTAAATTCTTGATAAAAACACATCAAACCCTGGTCGGAGCTAAATTCAGCGATTTGGACCCCGACCTAAATAATTGCCGAAATTCAGGGATTAAAACTAGAGGATTGATTACCTCGCTGCAGGAAGCTCGTATATGAAATTTGGGCTCAATCCGGCTTTCGGATACTCCAAAACCCTAATTTGGCTTATCGGGAATTCAAGAAATTCCTGAACCAAAAACTCGTTTTAAAGCTCTAAATCGATAAATCACGATGTATAGATGAATTAGACATTACTTACGGGATTTTTGAATCACTAGAACTCAAGAATTGAGCTTGGGAATTTTCCCCACGTTCCCCTGTATCGCACTTTCTCGGTTTCCTCTCGGTGCAGAAATGGAAAAAGATGATGATGATGGGAACTAATGGACAGTTGAATTAAATGGACAAAATAAATAAATAAATAAATATATAATCCAATTTTCGCCGAAATACTATCAAAACGCTCAATTTTAAATCGCGAACTTTCTAGCGATCGAAATATGGGTTTTGCCGGAATGAGATGTTACAATCTATCTAGCTCGATGTTCTTGTAAATCTCACTTTACATCTTCAATTACTCAACTGAATACTCAATTCGGTGTGATTCCATAAGGAAACGACATCTGAAAGCTCTTGATTTATCAGCTAGCTTCTCTCTTTTTCTTCACTCCCGAAAATGGCATTATTTGCTCTCTACCTAGAACCAGCACTAACCCCAATTCCCCAAACACATAAAGAGAGTATATTTGTATTTGCTCAAAATTCCACACCCACAATTCCCACACAGAAAATTATTTCCAAACGTGGAATTTTGCTTAATTTCTAGAAGTCAATTCCTTGCATTTGTAAAACGTGGGAATTCATACAAATTCCCACGTTCCCAAATTTCCACATCCCAACGACCCCTAAGTAGTAGTGCACCAGCATTGTGGTGCACTAGCATCCACGCTAGCGATGGCGCCCAACCTGTCGTCCAACCTTCCGCGCAACCAGTGCCCTCAAAAGAGAGGACTATTCTTCTCTTCCCTCACTTTACACTTTAACTCTCTACACTATGCTCTCAACCTGCTCTGAATATCAACTAACTTGATCGTTGGAGATTAATCCAGGGACATCCTCTTCTTCTACAGGTTTCTTCCCTCCCGACGAGATCACATGAAAGAATCGTGAGTCAAGCCCACACCAACAAATCATTATTGTTCGTATCCAGAGCTAGATGGTACAAACATATTGAAATATTCTTTTCGTGTCACTTATCACGAGATGCTATTGCTAATGTTATATTCCTTTATTGGCATCTATGGAAATCTCGGTGTTGGACCAGTAAACACATTTAATACCAGGGTGTAGCCTTACTGTGTCAATTTCACAAACAATCAGAGGAGTGGTAGGCTGCTTCAATTCCTATGACTATACATAGGTATGCTTCAACATCTCTAGTGTCAGCAAGGAGAACACATTCCTACGTTCAGGATGGAAACTGTCCTAGGGGTCCTAGTTCATTTCGAGGGGCATGGGGAAGGATGGAGGGGACAGTATTGGTTTGTTGGTTAATCTATCAATGAGATGCTTCTTTTCGCATACGGAAAAAATTCTATCCAGGTCTTGTTGACCCTTTATTAATGGAATTATTGGCATTGGGTGATGCTTTTACATGGTATCTCAATCATGGTCTTCTCAATGTAAATTTTTGTGGTGATTGCCAAAACCTCGTACAACATGTTCAGGAGCGAAAATGTGACTCATGGGTCGGGTAGTGCATTGCTTGAAGAAATTCGGATGGTTATACTTGTCTTTTCTTATTTTTATGTATTTTTACTCCATAAGTTTAACAAAGCTGTCCATTTTAGTGTCTAAAAGGCCCTTTTATTGGCAGTTCTACTATTGATCGGCCGTCGCATTTTGTTGTGTAATGCTTTGTGACCATCTATAACACTAAAAAGAAAAGAAAAAAGAGAGATAGTAATGATACCGATACACCAACGAAACCACCTAATAAAACCAGACCCCCTGATAAAAAAATCCCATAGTGGAACGCCTTAAATAGGCCTCAAATAGAACGGGCTTTCATGGCCCAACATCAATAGCATTGGCAGCCCTAGGGGTGATAGTCGGTTTGGTTGCGGTTTAACCATACTGATTTTTAGGTTAGTCAGTCACCGATAATTGCCTAAATGACTAACCGAAGTGCACCGAATATGCTGGTCGGTTAGACACAACCGCAACCGCAAAATGTCGGTTCAGTTAGACAGTCAACCGATATATTAAATGGGGAGAGAAAAATTAGAAGAAGGAAGGGAATTAAATGGGCGGACAAAAAAGGAATGAGGAATTAAATGGGTCCTAAAAATGCCTTCTCTCTTCAGTCTTCTCCGCTCCCCTCCTCTCTCTCTATCACTCATACTATCAATCTCGGTGACGATTTCGGCGGAGGCGACCTCAACTCCTTGCATTTTAGCCTCTCTTTCTTCAAGCAAAGTCGCTAATGAATCTCATTGTTCGGAGGAGGAGAGATCTGGTGGCTGTTTGCTACTACGATTGGCGGCGACGAGGGAGGTATGCGACTCATGATTCAGGGGGAGGCCCAATAGCAACAGCTTCTAATGGGGCGACGATGAAAGGGGAGGTTGCGGTTTGGATTCTCGTGGTCTGCGAGGAAGACCACTGTGCAGTGGCGATTGAGGCCGCAAAATGGTCAATTGGTGCCGAACATCGACAATTGTGGCTGGAAAAGAATGGAGGGGAGAGAACAACGTTGTCGAGAATGACGACGGCGAGTTGGGGTGGAGAGATCGGGTGGTCGAAGGAGAGCTGGCTGGTTAGTTACCTGTGCACCGGAACAACCGGTTAGTGAAAAACACAAATTGACACAACTAACCCCAAGACCGAAGGCTTATTTATCGATTTTCGGTTAGCCATATAACCATTATTTCGATTCGATTTTTCGGCTAACCGCCCACCGATTATAACCCCTAGACAGCCCACAAAAGATTTGAAACCAGACAAAAAGTTTGAAATTTATCATTATACTATTCAAAATACAGCGGACAGTTGTATTCATAGACCAAACAAACTATGAACCGTCGGATACACAAGGCTCGAAAACGAGACGTCGGATCATCTTCCAAAAATGAAAATATTTAAAAGCAATAAAACAAGAGAGCGGGGGTTCTGAAAATTTCAAATCCCATCGCCAGCCCGCTCGTCATCTCACATTTTCACTCCCCGCCTGGGAACGCGCAAGAGAAACCAAAAGAGACAGATCGGTATCGGAGAGGAAGTCAAAGCAAAGAGAGGATTCCGACGGAGAGGCAGATTGAGGAGAAAGTGAGAGTGCCAACTGGGAGTGTACCTGCGGAGAGTCTACAAGTAGCGAAGATTGCGTCGCCAGCTCCGTCTCCATCCAGGGGCGGTGGATCCAGCAGCAGAGCAAGAACTCGGCCGCCTTTTCTCTCTTCATCAGGAAACGGAAGAATGTCCGGCCGCGAGAAAGAGAAGGGTGTTAACGTTCAAGTCCTGCTTCGTTGCAGGTTAGAACTGAGCCGAGTTTGTTAGGGTTTCCATTTTGTTGAAGTTGTCAATTCGGATTTCTCTGGTTTCCTTGGACTTGAGCTTTGTAACCATTTAACTGTCGTTTGATTAGGCCGTTTAGCGAGGATGAGCTGAGGAGCAATGCGCCGCAGGTGGTGACTTGCAATGATTACCAGAGAGAAGTGGCGGTTTCACAGAATATCGCCGGGAAGCATATAGACCGAGTTTTCACATTCGACAAGGTAATTTTTGCTGGTGATAACTGAACCCAACGTTGCTGGGTTGTTCCCAGGATTATAGTTTGAATTATCTGTTGGATACTGGTACTTGCCAGTTTAAATTGAAGCAATGCTGTGGAGAGTATCAACACGTTTGCGCTTTATTCAGTGTTAGATGAATCCGTTTTTAATTGTAGCTAGTGCCAGCGCTCCCACTCCGATGAGGCTAGGACTTGAGTTCATTTCCTGATTTTTGATTGGTGTCGTTTTCAGGTCTTCGGTCCTTCAGCTAAGCAAAGGGACCTCTATGACCAGGCAGTAGTACCTATTGTAAACGAAGTTTTGGAAGGTTTTAACTGTACCATTTTTGCATATGGTCAAACTGGTACAGGTAAGACGTACACCATGGAGGGAGAATGCAGGAGGGCAAAGGTACTGTGATTTAATTGCGTTTCTAGTGTGTTTCTTTGTATGGTCTCTCTCTTTTTCTTTAACTTGATTCTTTGCCTTGTTGCTCCAATTTGAAAACTGAACAGAGTGGGCTTAATGGAGAACTGCCCCAAGAAGCAGGAGTTATTCCTAGAGCCGTCAAGCAAATTTTTGATACACTTGAAGGCCAGAATGCCGAATACAGTGTGAAAGTTACTTTCTTGGAGCTTTACAACGAGGAAATCACTGATTTGCTTGCCCCAGAAGAAATTTCTAAGGTAGCTTTGGAGGAGAAGCAAAAGAAGCCGTTACCACTTATGGAGGATGGGAAAGGTGGAGTTCTTGTTAGAGGTCTGGAAGAAGAAATAGTGACAAGTGCAAGCGAGATTTTCACTCTTCTGGAAAGAGGTTCTTCAAAACGCCGAACTGCCGAGACCTTACTAAACAAACAATCCAGGTAAAAGTGATTGGGTGGGCGTTTAACTTACATCATGTTTAACTGCACAGTCATATTGAGGGCACGTCTTCTGCTACAGTCGTTCGCATTCTCTCTTTTCCATTACAATCCACATCAAAGAACCGTCTCCTGAGGGCGAGGAACTAATCAAATGTGGGAAACTGAATTTGGTGGATCTAGCTGGTTCAGAAAATATTTCCCGGTCTGGTGCCAGAGAGGTATTTGTTCTCGTTCTTGTCATGATCTTGTTCAGGTTGACTTCATTTTATTGATTAATGAATAGCCAAGGTTGCTTAAACTAGGGCCGAGCCAGAGAAGCTGGTGAAATTAACAAAAGTTTGCTTACACTGGGCCGAGTCATTAATGCTCTCGTGGAGCATCTTGGACATATTCCATACAGGTTTGAGTGGTTTATTCTCTGTTAGTCTGCATAATACTCCTATTTCATTCTCTTCTGACTGGTATCTGTGACTGAAATTTTCAGGGACAGCAAGCTCACTAGATTGCTTCGTGATTCACTTGGGGGAAGAACAAAAACCTGCATTATAGCCACTGTTTCCCCTGCTGTTCACTGCTTGGAAGAGACATTGAGTACACTGGATTATGCACACCGAGCCAAGCATATCAAGAATAAACCAGAGGTTTGGTTCAACCTTTCATAATACATATTATTGGAGATGCTAGACATCTAGATGTTTTATTGCTCAGTAAGCTGAGCTGCTAAATGTTATGTGTAGGTGAACCAGAAAATGATGAAATCAACCCTTATCAAGGATCTTTATGGTGAAATTGATAGACTGAAGGCAGGTGAGAAGGTTTCATACTGCATAGCATTGCCACTAGTATTGTGATCAAGTGACTGTTGTTTTTTAGTTGTATTGACTTGGCAGCAAATATGTCATTTCTTTCAGAGGTTTATGCTGCTCGTGAAAAGAATGGTGTCTACATCCCTAAGGAACGATACTATCAAGAGGAGTCGGAAAGGAAGGTATTTATCAATTCGCAGTATGAGTTTGTTTATTGTTTCTGTTGATTTATATGAGATACTTGGTTATATTTCGCTTTGTTTTGCTATTCCTATAGTTCTTTCGCAGTAGTCTCATGTTTTTGTGTTGGCATTCTGTTTATCCGTAGGCTATGGCTGATCAGATAGAACAAATGGGGATCACTATAGAAACTCATCAGAAGGTCAGTGAAGAACTTCTTTTCAATTCCTGGAGGAATATAGAATTTTCATTTGCTGTTGCAAATCGTTTGATTGTTGCACCATTCATTTCTGTGTCCTCCTTTCTATTATGTGGGCAGCAACTTGAGGAATTGCAAGAGAAGTATGATGTACAAGTTCGGCAGTGTTCTGATCTAAGTACCAAACTTACTCACACAGAGGTATTGTGCTGTCCTATCTATTAACAAACAATTTTCAGCATGGTTAATTGAATTATCTGGTACCTGCAGAAAAACTTGTTGGAAACAAGCAGATTGCTAGCTTATACCGAAGAAGAACTGAAAAAGTGTCGTTATGCACTGAACGAAAGGGATTTCGTCATTTCTGAACAGAGAAAAGCTGGTATAGTTGATTGGTTAAAGCATTGTATAATCGGTTTATCGTATCTATGAACCACATTAATATTTTTATTCTGAATGTTGCAAACAGAAAATGCTTTGACTCAGCAAGCTTGTGCTTTGCAGTCCGACTTAGAGAAAGCTCTAAAAGACAATACTTCGTTGTTTGAAAAGATAGGTAGCAGTTCATGGCTTACTATCGCAGCACCTACTTTTCTGATGTTATTCTTAAATATGCTTATTAATTTAGTCTGTGTACAGGTAGGGAAGACAAACTGCATTCTGATAATAGATCAGTAGTCAACAGTTTCCATTCAGAGCTCTGTCAGCAGATTGGTTGTCTTCGTAGCATAGTTGCAAACTCAATTTCTCAGCAGGACGAGCATCTGCAGTGTGTTGGCAAACTCTGTAATTCTTTTAGGGAGACCCATGACAAGGTACTGAAGGACACATGACCAAATTTTGAATGATTCATCTTCAATTTTGTCTAATACTTTGTCTGTGTAGGTGGTTAAGGAAATGAAGAAGAAATTGACAAACACGAGGACAGTATACATGTCCCACATTGAAGCATTGCAAAATGTGGTTCGTCTGCACAAGTCGAATTCTGTTGCTGGCCTTGATGAGATCTCAACTTTGGCTTCCTCCAATGCGCAGTCTATTGAAGATGTAAGAGGCAACATGTTTTCTTTTCCCTCTAACCTTTATTTGAGTTCTAGTTTTCTTTTCGTATTTTAGGTTTGGTTTGTAATTGTCTCATTTTGGCACAGTATCTAGCTTCAGAGGGTGTCCAAGCGGCTTCTGTATTTGATGATCTCCAGAACGCTCTCTCAGCTCACCAGGGTGAAATGGCCATTTTCGCAAGGGAGCTACGTCAGGTTATTCCTTCTTTCCACATGAGGATTGAACAAATTATCACTTGTGTACATAGGTAATTTCTATCTGGACTTGGGTTTGATTGCTTGGATATTCATTTGACTTGGATGACAGAGATTCAATTCAAGTAGCGAGCAAACAAAGCAGATTTCAGATTACACAGATGGATTCCTTAGCAAACTAATGGACCAATCCAAAACTATCCAAAATCATGTGACGGGAGTTGACAATATCCAAATGAAGAGCATTGCTGATTTTCAGAAAGCTTATGAGGTAAGGCTGAATAGTTTCCGAGTGGTTGATTTATGTTTGTTTCCCTATGAACATCATCTTCATGGCACTTCTTCTGCAGGAACAATCCAAATCTGATGCAGAGAAGTTTCTTGTCGATATCAGCAATCTTTTTTCTAATCACATTCTCCGACAAAAAGAGCTGGTGAATACAAGGCTTGATGGTCTCAGAGAAGCAGCTGTTGAAAACCGGTCATTTATGGATGGCCAAGTTTCTTCATTGAAGAATATTACCACGGAAGCGAAACGAAAGTGGCAGGAGTTCTGCGTCCAAGCTGAAAGTGACGCCAAGGGTGGTGCAGATTATTCTGCTGCAAAACATTGTCGCATGGAGATACTCCTGCAGCAAAGGTACTAGCTGCTGCTGCTGCTTCTTTGTGGTCCTTATGTCTTTCTTTCCCCACTGTTTTGATACTTACCATTTGGTGACTCTGTAGTGTGACCAATGCCGAATCAGCTTTCCAGCACTGCAAAAAGACTCGTGACTCTGTGAACGAAATGTGCACCAAGCACGTCTCGTCTTTGTCTTCCCTCGTCAGGTAATAACCACTCTGCTCCTTCTGGACTTCCCTCATTATTTAGAGCTCCGAGTCCCCAGAATTTCTCAGTGTTTCTGTTTCATGTTGTAGAGATGCAACTGATGACATCGAGCAGCACGATGCTGATATTGATTCAGCAAGGACAGCAGCCGAGCAAGATGTAGCAACGAATAACCAAGAAATTCTTCAGCACATTGATGGTAAGTGTTTGTGATCGCCGTTACATGTCCTCAGTTCATAAGCAGCATTATCTGCATTATCCATAAGTTGACAAAGAAAAGAAACTTATCTTCGTTCTTGGTTGCCTGCTGCAGGTATGTCAGCCCAAGAACGGGAATCAGTTTCAGGCATATTGGGCACCGTCGAAGCACACACGAAAACGCTGGAGACATTCCGGGAGGATCACTCCGGCCAAGCGGCAGTTATGGAGAAAAAATCACAAGAAACCTTCCAGCAGCACTTTATGGTACGTACGGTAGTCTGAATTAATGCTGCAGCATAATATACAAATCCCATATGGCCAATTGTGAATCGTGATTCCTTGGTTGTGTTGATGCAGGATTATGATCCAACGGGGACGACTCCGATGAGGACAGAGCCCGATGTTCCAAGCAAGGGGACAATCGAATCCCTAAGAGCAATGCCGATGGAAGCATTAGTGGAGGAATTCCGGGAGAACAACTCTTACGACTCGTTTGAGGTGAAGGAACCCAAAACATCTCTCGTCCCACGCTCGCCGCTCGCCGAGATCAATTAGTTGGGGAAGGAAGAAAATAACTGCATTCTGGCGGCGGAACTTTATTCTTCTCCCATATTCATATACACACTTTCAGTATGATGCTTCAGTTTGTAGCTTTGCTTGTACCATTATTGCGCACTCTCTCGTAGCCATCCATTAAGTTTCGGTTTCTGGGCATTGGCTGTAATGCATGAATAAATCCCTTCTCGGGATTTAACTACCTTTTTCCTGTCGTTGTATGCCTAGCGGGGAAGAATATGTTCAAAGAGGCTAAAATGCTATAGACGACGGCCTCTTCTATAATCTTTGGTTATGTATACTAGTCAAAGACTCGGCTAATTGGCCGGAATTAGTCGTCAATCACATAAATAGTAGACCACACAAATTACAACTCGATCTGTTGACCCGATCCAACCCGAACCTGTCCCAAAAGTAGAAGTACTTATAACTCGAAATCTGAATGATACGAACCCAATAACTCGTAATTTTTTGGGTTGGGTTGGGTGGATTAGTGCCGACCTGTTAGACCCGTTCCATTTTATAGATCACTCTCAAAATGATAAAATCTCTCATTAATTGGTAGGATATTTTAACAGTTCACAAGGATTTGAATGACATGTTTGGAGTGTAAAGATAATCAAATATCATGAGTTTCTTGTAGTAGCATTACTCTTGTGATTGTTTTTTGACGATTTGCATAATTTGTATTTCACTTCATTAGCATGAGAGGATTTGAGAATATGTTAATTGACATGTGTTAGGTAAACTATTGTCATATAGATGTGAAAATTTGTATTTTTTAAGAAAATATGAAGCATACTATATATTGTTTCTGAGAGTGCTCATAACCCGACCCGAAACCGAATGGGTTGAGTCAATATTTGACCCGAAATCAGCCAACCCAAAATGCCCCGACCCGTAATGGTAGGCCCAACACGATATCACCCAACCCGACCCGATTGCCAGGTCTAAATGAAATAATATTATCAAATTGTATATGAGATACATGGATTTTGACAGTATAACCAAATCTAAATTATTCAAATAGTTAAACCAATCAAATTGTTTGGTAGAATAAGAGAATCCAAATTATTAAAGCACTTCAACAATTCAAAATGATAAATATCATAATGTTTTTCGACATTGTATGCAACTGACTCGTCGACTAAAATCCTTTTACGATAATAAACGATAAATTTGGACCGACTCCTAAAGACATTTTAAAATCACCCTTCTGTAGTTCTATTTACTATTCATCGTGAGAGATTACTTCACATTTTCATTTTGACTTGTTTGCACTTCCTCTAGCATGAGCAACATGAAGGCATATATTTGTGCATGGTATACAAATTGAAGACTATACACTTTAAAATACATGCAAGCATACAATTGCATGCATGCTAGTGGGTAATAAAGGAAAGTTCCTTTGAAGTTTTAAGTTATACATTTAAGGGCTAATTCCACTAGGAAGTCCAAACTATTTACAAAGTGTTATTTGTGTACTAAACTATTCAATATGACAAATCTGAGACAAACTATTTTTCGTTAGTGTTGACTGGCGTTGACTGTTAGTATATAACAGAAAATCTAGTCAGCATCTATGTGGTTTATGCCAGATTTGTCATATTGAATAGTTTAGGACACAAATGACACTTGTAGTATAGTTTGGACTTTCTAGTGGAATTAGCCCTACATTTAAATACATTTGTCCAAGTTAAAGAATACAAATGAGTATAATTTTTGCGTGATATAAAAATTGAAGAACTATATACTTGATTCTGGAACTAAGTATAATTTACACCTTGTATACAATTGATAACAATTTATTTACGAGACAATAGACGCAATTAGTTGCCTTGCAAAATCAACATGCGAGAAGTAGACATGGTAGGCAGGTTTGTTAAATAATAATCAGATAGTGCATGTTCCAAATATACTCCAAATTCAATAGAGAATATAAAAAATTTATAATTAATATTGATCATTATTTTCATGAAATTATAATTTACCTCGATCAAGTCAGGAAGATCGTATGAGTTTTGATCTTCTCATCCTTCCCAATCATGGAAATCGTGTACTCACTTATTGATTAGCAATGTCATATGTGAGCTTGCTGTCAAACTTCAATATCATTCCCTCAGTTTGTAACAGATGAGCAACTGATAATCCTCTCATTCTATCGTTGAATTGGAATAACATTTTAGCTGGTATTTTCAAAAATCCATCTCCCACTTGATCCATAACAACAAAAGTTAGCTTCAGTGGTTTTGCCCTCAATTCGAAGGTAGATCTTGAATAAATATAATGTTAGTAGTGACATAAACAACAATAGAATCTAATACCTTTTGTGGACATGTTTCACATCCAACATAATACCATCCTTCTTAACTTTGACAACTTTTTTTTTACGAAATGCATATTAAAGAAAGTGTTAGAATTTTGATAGTTAATGGGCCGTTAAATTGAAATTGATACTTCTTCTCCATCCTTCATTTTTAACCGATTTATTTTTTGCACTATTTTGGTTGAAATTAATTGTTGATGTGCTTTCAGGCTTTTCACCGGAAGAATTGGTCAATCTCAATCATTTTTTTACAAAAAAATGATAATTAATTCTCTTTCCTATTTGGAACTATAAACTTATAAATGTCAACCAAATATGGTGATTAAATTGTCATGAATTTCACCTTGCCCCAAAATTAATGATTCCTGAATTCTTGGATTTTCCAATAGCAAAGTCGCTCCATATGAGGATAAGGTTTTCTCGCTTGCAAATTTAACGATCGTTTAGTTAAATATCAAATTTATTTGCAAATGGTTTGATTAATAATGACAAAGTAATAAGATTTTCCCTTAGTATTGTACAAAACGACATATAATGATGTAATGACCAAGATGAGAGGGCGGTTAGCCGCATTTGCAAGGATGACATTTAATTGGGTAACAATCGTACCAAAGAGAGTTATCTTGACGACCAATCCCACACCCAAATTGTATATTAGATTTGCGATTAGTGTTAAAGTAATGCATGCTATTTTAAAACTAAAAAAAGGAATTAAATACTCCGAAAGTTTTATTTGGAGCATCCTCGCTGGTAATTTTTCCAGTGAGTTTTAGATGTCAATAAACCCGAATACTGAATAAGCTAGCCAACAACAACTGTGGAATGAAAATTTTAAGAAGTTAATCAATGTTTTTGGCTGTATACGCATTTGATTGAAGTAAATTTGAATTGAGAATTTTAATTCGAACCTGAAATAGGGGACGAAAGTAAATTCATGCTCGCCATAAAATATTGATAGTGTAAACTCTCTAGTCATGAAATAGGGGACGAAAGTCCTTGATTTTCCCTTTGAGAATTTGCACCCAAATATCATTAGCTCGAAGAAAAAAGAGGAGGAATATTAATCATTTTTCAAAAATCGAATCATAGAGTTGAATTCACATGGTTTTTGTCAGTTTAAACTTTAAGTCGATAACTATCATATCGAGGAAAAGAATAATATATGTCTTGGGATTGATTGGCAGCTACTTCCTCGAAACGTGACATTGAAGAATCCAACTCCACTTTTAAGTTGTGAGATCAGATATAAGTTTGGATTGCATATTGACTAATTTTCAATTGAAAAAAGAATGAAACAATTATTTTTGTTTCACAATTGATATCAGATTAAGTCACAAATTGTGTAATAAGCTAAATCTTGATTAATTATTGTGTGATTAAAGAAACATAGATGAGATTTTTCTTAAATAAGAATCTTGGCATATATAACCATGGATATTATATTGATAGTAAAATTAAAAGGTAAATAAATTTATTAGCCAAATATTTCAAAATTTTCAAATTATTTGTCAAACCTTTCAAAATAAATATTAGCCAAATGCTAACTTCTTGTTAACAGTTTTGTTAGTAATATTGACTTGACAACATGATACTGACTTGAAAGAGACATGCGGCGGTCAACAATCCAAAATTTTAGTATTTTGACTAATATAAAAGTTACAAAATTACTAACGATAACAGACAAGTAGCTAATATTTTGATGTGTACAAACGATTTGGCTAATTATTGTTATTTCTAAAGGTTTAACTAATAATTTGAAAAGTTTGAAAGGTTTGACTAATAGATTTTATTTACCTAAAAATAAAGTAAATATAGAAGAAAAGATTGAATAATTGTAGCACTTAAATACAATTTAATCCTCCTGCAACCATGAATATACATGAACTGACAAGATTAATTTCTTCTACCAATACATAATAACATGTTGGGTTATAGGTATAATATGCCCCTCTACTATGACATTTTATCAAACATGGCCCTCTACTATTTTTTTACATCAAACATGCCCCTGTACTTTGTAAAAATGATCAAACATGCCCTTTTGTTAAAACTTTCATCGAAACATCATTAACCAAGGCCGAACTTTGGTTTGAGCGACACAAATGTCTAAAATATCCAAAATAATTTCACTTTAGAATTTTGTTTTTGTTTTTTTGTATAGCCAAATAATTCAAATAATTTCACTTTGAAGAGACTCAGAGAAATAAAACGGGGGATAAAACTGACATTTTCCCTGCCATTTGCCGATGTCGGGTCGTCTAAATCTCAGTTCAACCATGATTGACGATTTTTTCAATGGAAATTTTAACTGAAGGGCATGTTTGATAATTTATACAAAGTACAGGGGCATATTTGATGTAAAAATAGTAGAGGAGCATGTTTGATAAAACGTCATAGTAGAGGGGCATATTATACCTATAACCCTAACATGTTAGTACAGAGGCAATTGCAACTAGATAGTGAGTTGGAAAAAGAAACTAAATTTAGTAAGACATCAACGACATTTGAATAAGAACTTGCTGGTGAAAGTAAAAGAAGAACGACAATGGCAGTCATCATATAATACATGCAATAATTTATAAGCTAACAAATAATCAATTGAGAAAGGATGGATGTGTTGGGTGGGAGTAGCAAGGTGTCTCTAATCCATGAATTCTATAGTAGTCGGGTGAGA